TACTGGGGGTTTGTTAAAATTACGAGGTCACGTAGCAGCTGGACCCACCGGTGGGTCCGTAGGGTTCTAGGGGAAAGAGTAAAGATACTAATTTCATTGGCAAATCCTCATATTTACCTACTCAAATTAAGGGTAAAAACACTTAATTTAAGACATTTTTACTTATTTCTAGATCGTTTTTGCAGTGCAGTATGCTCAAAATCAGTATAATAACTAAACTACTGCTTCTATGGAGTGCAAACGCTTTGCACGACCCGGGTCCCCTTTTTAACCCTTTAAAGCCTGATCCAAGAATAAAACAAAACAGGAAATTACTTTTTTTTTTTATTTGAAGTCCTTATTTGGCCTTTTAACAAAATATGTAAAAAGAAAAAACAATACATTTTTTATATTAATAATTTATTACTATGCGATAAGTCAAGATTATTTTTTGTGTAGTCTTCTACTGGCTGTTATCAGGTATATCTGATTGTGTACAATACTGTAGGATTTTGAGCAAAGTTTTTACCATTAAATTATGCAAAAGGTGTCAGATGCAAAACATTTCAGAAACCGTATGCATCAAATACGATATATTCGGCATTACAGGGTTAACTATATGGAGAAAAGTGTCTCACTTGTAATGAACCTAAACTTTCTGATATATGAAATGTATTATTCTGTCCTATTAAAATGTTAACTGATTAAATCTTTTTTCAGGCTTTTGGAGGAAACCAACACAGACTGCTACTTCCACAGCTGGTTTAATAAAGTTAAAGCTGCGCTGTTGCACTGCTGTGGCCAAGCGCTAAGGAAGGAGCTGGATTATGAGGCTCGTTTGGTTCAAGTGCTCGTTCAGGTGGCCCAGAAAGTTCGGTTTGCTGACAAATCTCAGCGTAAGGTTTGTAAAAAGATGCCACGATGCATGATGCCAAACAATGAGAAAAGATGTAAAGCCTTTTTTATTATTCATTCTGTAACTTTGGGCACTTTTCAGAATGTTTTAAACAGAGAAAAGGAACGTATCCACGAGTTCTTCAGAGGTGGCATCACCTGCCGTCTGCCACTAGATCCTGCATTTAGTGTAAAAGGAGTCGACTTGGATGTAAGATCTCACTCCTCTCTATTATACTGTGGATGAAGTGGGTGGTTTTGTTTTGATGGTTACTCCTGGGTGCTCTTCTTGCAGGCCTGCAAATTCTACAGTGCTAATTCTTCTCCTCTGGGGGTCACGTTCGTATGTGAAGATTCTCTGGCTAAAAAGACCAGTGTCATTTGCAAGGTTAGTAAGATTGTCTATGAATGTTTCCATCCATAGTAATGGATGGAAACTCTCCTCCATCTGGCGGAGTCAGGTTAGTCGCATACCTGTTTGGCAACTACTTTCTCAAGGATTTTAGATCAGAAAGGAAGATTGGATATAGGTCTATAATTGACCAAGTCATCTGGGTCAAAACCTTTAGTAAAGGTTTAATTAAAGCAAACCTTAAAGCCTTTGGTACATAACCCTGTAACAGGGAGAGATTAATCACATCTAAAATATATGAGGAGGACATCAAAAGGAATACTCTTGCTCTTCAAAATAAGAACAACCTTGTTTAATAAATATTAGATTACTCTTAGGGTAGTTTCCAGATGCATTATGGTCTTAAACCAGGTATGAACATTGTTAGTAAGTTGTACTTTGAGATTCTATAGTTAAGATGAATGCAAAGCTTGGTTCCATGTTACTAATAAACTTAAATCATGATTACAAAAGGTACTCAGTTAGTTTTTAAATATCTATTTTAAGTTAAGTTTAGGTTTCTAATAGGGTTTAAAACCTGAACCTGATGTATGCGGAGTATGGGAATTAAGGAATGTGTATGCATGATCCAGTTCTTGTTGTTCTGGTTTCTAATGTGGAAAACAATACTCAAATAGAAGCAATCTAATTCCAGGTAGGGGACAACCTGCGTCAGGACATGCTGGTTCTCCAGATAGTCCGTGTGATGGACTGGGTTTGGCTCCAGGAGGGGCTGGACCTGCAGATGATCACCTATCGATGTCTCTCCACAGGCAAAGATCAGGGTAAAGGAGATTCTTATTGGTTTATGATTTCATCTTATCTAAGGTTTTCATTAAGTGCATTGTTTGTGGTCATCAGGCCTGGTGGAAGTTGTGCCAGAGGCTGTGACCCTGGGAAAGATCCATCAGGAGTGGGGTCTAAGTGGGACGCTTCGAGAAGACACGTTGGAGAAATGGTTTCACATGCTGAACAAAACGAAAGAGGGCTACGAAAAGGTTAAACCGCCATCCAATCCATGCATTTGGCAGCCATGTTTTGTTTTTTTTATTGCTTAAAAGGTCTGCTGTGCACATGCAGGCGGTGACGAACTTCATCCAGTCGTGCGCAGGGTGGTGTGTAGTCACCTTCATCCTGGGGATCTGTGACCGCCACAATGACAACATCATGCTGAAGCACAGCGGACACATGTTCCACATTGACTTTGGCAGAATCATGGGGAATGCGCAGAAATTTGGAACCTTTAGAAGGCAAGTTGATGGAGAAAAGCAATTTATTGGGGTTAATACCAGAAAGTCAGACAGATTTAAAAAAAAGTCAACAAACATCCTCTCTCACATAACACCAGGGACAGGAAACCCTTCGTTTTCACGTCTGAGATGCAGCACCTCATCACCGGTGGTGGAAAGAAGCCTCAGCGCCTCCATCGCTTTGTGGAGCTTTGCTGCGAAGCTTATAACATCATCAGAAGTCGCTCTGCTCTGATACTCGGCATGTTGGAGCTGGTAAGACTTTTCCAAGCAAACACTTCTCCCATTTGATCGAATCCTCATCCTTACATCATGTTCGCATCTTGCTAATGAGAAACAGCCTTGACCATGATGCTGCCTCTGCTAGATTGGTGTGTTCAGGTGTAAGACTAGGGGTGTAAATAATAATCGTTTTGTATCGATGCATCGATCCAACAGCCGACAATCCGATGCATCGATACGTCCGCAAGAGAATTGATTCATTTTTTTTTGTTTGTTTTTTTCCTCCGGTCTATTTTTATCCATTTGCTGCGGTGGCGCTAAACCTATTTTGCCCTCCTACCTCACTTCCTGGTTATACTCTTACAGCAGTGTGTTGCAGTGAGCTTGATGCAGACATTTTTGATTTATGCTCAATATTGAAGCGTGGTCTGAGCTACACGCTGGGGGTCTAGAAACGGCCGAGGCGGCGAGGAAGTGGGGGCGAGTTTAGTCCGACGACGGAGGAACATGAGGGCCAATTATTATTATTATTTTTCAGTGAATGAGGTTTTAATAGGAATAGGTGGAGTACAACTTTTCTACTTCTGTTATTTGCTGTTGTTTCTAAAAAGAAAAAAATGCATAACGTTAGCAGCTTTCATTGATTTATTTCCAATAAATGATATCGTATCGCATCGAGGTGTATTCTTAAGTATTGAAAATAATCGAATCGTTGGGTCAGGAAATTGATACTGAATCGAATCGCCATGATAGGTGTGATTTACTAACCTGACTCCGCCAGATGGATTTGCTCCGCATTTCCATCTGGAAACCTTCCGTTGAAGTAATTTTGGGAAGGGGCGAAAATACTGGTTAGCTGATTGGCCTATGTTGGTGATAGACGGGCCAAATAAACCAATCAGATCTACGAAGCTTATGACGTACTAACAGCGCGATGAATAAAAACA